TTACACAGAAAATTTATTGAATAAATTTGATAAAATCATCATTCTTTTATTTCCTATTATATTATCTTGTAAAAATTAAAGAAAAAATCTGCAAGTTTGGTCATCCTATATTTAAATAACTGGATGGTTAAGCGGCTAAAACCTGTAGAAACAGGACAGCAGTGCATAAAGCAAGCTCCTTCTGGCTCTTCCTCCTGCCCTCCTTGTAGCCTATACCTCTATGCAACCCTAGAACACATCCATCTTCACTCTCTACCTCCCTAAACCCTACACAGTCTTGAGGACTTAGCTAAGAATAAAAACTCCTTTGGAAGCCCTCCTAGAGAGTTCAGATGGTCTTGAATTGAGATAAAGTAACTCAGCAAGTAACTACTTGCTTTTAGCTATAAGGGAAAGTAGATCACAAACATTTCCCAATAAGGAGATGAATAACTGTATGTTAACAATGTTGGAAGGTCCTAAGGAAGGCAAGCTCTGGGGGTGGCTGATCCACAGGCTGGTTTCTCTGCCTTACTTTCTTTCTATACTGCTGCTTACTTCCACCATCTCACTTCATCAGAAAGACTGCCAGTTGATGGAGAGCATTGCTTCTGGTGCCTCTCCTCTCTGCATGTGACATCTGCTTTAGAAGCCTCTGGGAGTATCTATTTCTTTCTGTCTCAAAGGCCATGATGGGCTGATTGAACCTTTCCCAACCTGTTACAGTGTGAGGAGTGAGGGTGACCAAGACTGATTTATAGTGCTTGTCACCTATCTTACTTTTCTCATCTCGGAGATACAATACCTGACACCCAAGGTTAAAGGAGGAAAGATTCTCTCCACTGAAGTTTTATAGAAGTTTCAGTGCATAGTTGGTTGGTTCCAAAGCAGGGTGGCATGGCAGGCAGACATGACAGAGGAGAAATGGTTTATGGTGTGGCATGCAGAAGGCAGCAAGCAGCAGCAAGTCCCACCCTTTTATTCTATGCAGGCTACAAGCCTTTTCTGTGGAGCCACATCCAGGGTGGGTCTTTCCATTACCCACACTCAAAATTATGGTAATTCCAATCAGTGAACTAATTTACTAATTCACACTCTTAATTCTAGTATCACACACACTAGATTCAGTCTGCTTTGAAAAGCCCGACCTATTAGTACATGAGGCTTTAGGGTGACATCTAGATACAAGGTATAACATTACATATAATGTAAAATGAAACTATTTCTGGCATGCTTGGGATATTTTCTGTCAGAAATCAAAGAAGGTGGGCTGGGGATTTAGCTCATTCTTTCTGCCACCTGCCTCACAAGCTCAAGGTCCCAAGTTCGATTCCCAGTACCCCCCACCCCTCCAAAAAAAAAAAAAAAGAAAAAGAAAAAGAAAGAAAGAGAAAGAGAGAAAAAAGAAATCAGAGATTGTCAAGCTATGATCCCATTGCCTGTTTCTGTGAATAAAATTGTATTGGGACATAGCCACATGTGTACCATACATGTACAAGTGTCCTGCATGCTACAATTGCATAACTGTGTAGTTCAGCCAAGACCATTTGGCTCACAATACTGAAAATATTTAGTATCTGGATCTTTACTGAAATATTTGTCAATCTCTTACTTAAGCTCCTCAACTAATATGAAATAAAGTTAGCAAGTCAACCACAACACCCATTTTGTAGCACCTGACACATCCTGTCTAACATTCTTCATATGCTTATTATCGCTTTGAATACCTGTATTGGTGGCTAGTTTTAAGTTCAAGAGCAATGAATATTGCCTTTTTGTATAACATATTCATTGTTAAAGTCATATCCTTAGCACCTAGTTCAGGTCTGGTACATACATATGCCGTACTCCATATGTATGGGCTGAATCACTGAAGTGAATGCACTCCTTAAATAATCTGCCACATAGAATGCTCTGACCAAAAGAATAACATTTCAAAAACAGCATGCCAGAGCTGGGGATGTAAGTCATTGGAAAAATGCTAACATAGCATGTGCAAGGTTCTGAGTTCAATTCCCAGCACCAGGTGTGGGAATGGGGGGAACCCTAAGCAAAAAATAGTATGCCAAGAAAGTGACCCATATTCCACCCTGCGGGGACGAGCTTTACCAACAGTAACATTTCCCAAGCCTCAGGAGGAAGAAGTGCCCACACAATATCTTCTTTGAGAGGAGCTAAAAATAAACTCAGATCCCCAAAAGTGGCAGAGGCAGGGTGTGGCTTCAGTAAGCAGCATGGTACCACTCAATGGGGGCCTCCTAACAGAGAACATTTGCTTTGGCCTCATTTGGGTGGCACCTTCACAGACTCAAGCCAGGCTCAACCAACTCCATTCTCAATTTAGCTCCATCAATTATGACTTCAGTAATACACTCAAGGTCAGCCTTCATCAATGTACAGGAAAAGAGCAACAATCTTTCAAAGTAGAAAATACAAGAAGGATAGATGGGGCAGGCATGGTGATATCACCTTGTCACAGTTATTCTTTAAATTTTAATTTGAGAGAGACAATCCCAGAATCCACAAATATAATAACCTGGAGAAACAGATCTACAATGCATTTTATCTGTAGATGATGCCAGATTTTTCCCTTCTCCTCATCAAACCCAAGATAAATTTAAAAACAAATGGGCAGGAATGAGAAATAGCAGTTAACAGAATTGCTAAAATGACTTTAGTGAGTTTAACAATGCAAGAAGTTATTACCACAAGTGAAGAGGGAAGTGTTTTGAGTAGGTTTTAATTGACATTCTAATTTTTAATCCACAATGCTGAGAAGATACAAAACACTGGTGTGCCGAAATGAAAACTGCAATCACAGGACGTGAGCTTCATTATAATCTGCTAATTAATATAGCAATGCACAATAAGAACAGGTCAGTGAGAACAGGATTCTAATCAAGTTGGAGCCTGTGTTAAAAAGCCAAAAATGTCTTAAACAGCAGGGAAAGAGAAATGCCAAGCACCATATTAAAATACTATCTCCCCTGTAAACATTTTCTTTCCCCCAAAAAATGTTTGCAGTCAAATTTGTTCCGGCATTTTATCTCTTTTCTACATTTATGTAAACCACTGAATTAATCCAGATTTAGGAAAGCCTGGTCCTTACAGAGGGAAGAAATGGAAAAGAGAAATCTTTTATTTTTTTAGTCATGCAGATTAGGTGGTATTTGGAACACCTTTATTCCCACCAAAAGAACCAGCACTTTTTTTTTTTAAGAAAGCAGGATGCTTGTCATCCTCCAAGTGAAATAAAATTGCATCTTTTTCAAATTCACAGACCTTTGGTAATATATCATTTTATCTATTTTTCTCACGATTTTAATGAAAAAAATTCATAGCTATTCTAACATAAAAATTCAAAAAGAATGATTTGGGATATAGTAATACTGCCTTTAGACCAATTCCTTCAGAATTTTTCTTTTTAGAGTAAAATATTTAATGCGAAGAGGATAGCCTAAGTTAGTTATCTTGCTCTGCACTAATTGTTAGAAACTTTGTTCAGCCATCTGGTAGGAAAAATACATTTACTGTCACTTGGCTGTGGTGGGCTTTAGGACTCATCACTCATACTGTTCCCAAATATGGCATTTTGGCATTTGAAAAAACAGCAGAAGCAAGATTTCTCTGACCTTCCCTACGCTTCTCCCTAGGAAGAATTGTGTCGACTCCTCTTGAAGCAGTATCTTCTCGTGGGAGGTGACCTCACTATACTTGGAGAAAAGGAACATCCTCAACTCTCAAGATTTAGGGATACAGAAAAGAATTGGAACGAATAGGTCTTGCTAAGTTTTCCATTTCTTATCAGTAGATCATACATCCCTGGTCCAATGATTACCAACTTCTTCATTAAACCTGCATAGCAAACATACAAGCCTTGCCCTTTCATCAGGTCTGTTTCCTTATAAATGTTTTCATGTTATGAAAAGTTTATTTTAAACAAATTTGTATACCTTTCTCTTGCCACTTTGTCTTTTTCCATAAGAGCCTTAACCAGGAACCTACAATGGGTGAGGGAAATGTATTATTTTCCTTCACACCAATAAGTGTTTTATGGGTTCTTTGATGTAGTAACACCAATTTTAGAAAAGCACTGTAAGAAAATACCTTAGTGGAGACAATACTCACATTATTTATACAGCTCATTACAGTATGTTTTAAAACAACAGAAACTAGAATAGACTACATGTCCAACTAGAAAGAACTAAGAAGTGGCCAAGTAATTGTAGGTTTATCAACCAAATGAAATATTAACTAATTATTACATATTAAAATGATATATACCATATATTACTCCACTAATTTTTCATAGGCTGTAAAGTAGAGTATACTGTAGCTACAAGGAGAGAATATCTAAAATTTCCTCATTAGCTTACAGAAAATCAAATCAATGAGGCATTCTTCAATGATGCACAAACTCTTACCTATTCAATCCCGACTTTGCCGTAGCATCTTGCAATCCTGCTGCTGGGGTCTCTGGTTTCCCAATGAAATTTACTTATCCCCCTTACCATTCATTTTCCTTTCATTGTGTGTATGATAGGTGCTTCTGTCTATTCCACATATGCCACATGCACCACTTGGTTCAAGACTCACCTCCGCCCCTATCCCTTCCACAAAGGAGTCTATTACCCTTGAAAGAAATTGCTTTGGATACCTCTTCCCTTATTTCCTTCATTGCTTTGCTTGTCTTTTCTTCTCAGACAGACTGCAATTCCATCTAGATAGTTGTTCTTAGCACACAAAATTATTAATAAACATATGATTTTGAATGAGTTAATCAATGAACACAAACTCTTGAGAGTAGGGCCACATCTTTGTACCTACAACACAAATACTAGTGCTGGGAAAACAGTAGATTATTAATAATTCTTCACTAGACAGATACATATGTGTATAATATGTATGTATAATATATATAATATTCTGAATGTTTTTCTTCTCCAACTCATTTCTACTTCTAGAAAGCATGTGATACGGATCTTTTTCTAAAAGGATTGTCATCTATGAAGAGAACTTACCCAGGTCAAACTGTCCAGAAATGTAGCCACAAGTCTGCCGAACTTCTTCACTGTCCCAGCCCAGTGGGTAGAGAGCACAACCAGCACCGACCAACAAGCCTGCAAAGAGATGAGTGCAGAAGGCTTTAGCACTGGGCCTCTGTCTGCCTGGATAAAGGGAGATGAGAGGATCAGTATTTCACAATATAACAAAACCATGTGCTTGCTTTTTGAAAGCACCAGCCTAAATGCCTGTAAGCAGTCTAAAGTCACCTTGATTCCAGAAACAATATCAAGTCTGCTTAAAAGAAGAGGAGAGAAAAAAAAAAGAAAATGAAAAACTTCACATCTCAGTTTGCTTCCAACTTTGCCTTTTAAAAGTATTAAAAGCCTTGCAAATCCTGTTTAGGATACACAATCCGCAAACACTTTAAATCACTCTTGTAAAAGCATACAAATTCTACCATTAATCCATGTAAACAAGTAATTCAAGAGCAAGCAAAAGTGCTAATGGCTTATGTTTCATCATTCATTACATTTTTGTTTCCAATTCAAGAATCCGCATAGAACGTTTCAGTGTTATCATATTGTATTATCGGGGACAGAAGGAACATAAAGATTTTTATGAACTACTTGAGCAGGCTGACTGAAACTTTGAACTGTACTGCCTGTTCTACACTTGGCCGAGAATCATGGAATGAATATCTTCACCTCTCACAAACACTCTGGAAGACAAAGACATACTGTAATCTATAACCTTCTTGCGGCCAAATCCAAAAGATTTGAACATTAAACAGAAGCAAGGGATGGCTTTATTTTAATATAAATTAAGTTATTTTCATGACACCACACTGTGCTGACAGCCAGTCTCTTTTTGCATCAGAGCCTAACATGGTTTTACAAGAACATAAAAAAGAGTTAAACACTAAATATTTGAATCTATGTAGTAACCTGAATATAAGATCTTGTCATGTCAGTCAGCAAGCATTTTTTATCACCATAGTACCACACATATGCCCAGGAATTGGACTAATGCATGCAGTGTGAAGGGTGAGAATGGGGGTTATCAGGTGCTAAATAGGGAACCCCTAAATGATAAAACCCATTAATACGGTAAAGTGGGGAAAGGAGGGCCAGGCTCCAAATACACTTAGAAGAAAATTAAGCACCAGAATCCCTTCTAAATCCACTTTTTGTCCCACTACTCAACCCCAGTGAATAGCTTTGAGTACAAATACTTTGTTTCCTCCCAGACATCCAAGGCCAAATTGTTTTCTAAAATCTCCTCAACTGGCTGGGTGTGGTGGCCCACGCCTGTAATCCCAGCACTCCGGAGGTTGAGGCAGGAGGATCGCTGTGAGTTCGAGACCAGCCTGGGCTACACAGTGAGTTCCAGGTCAGTCTCAACTACATAGTGAGACCTTGTCTCAAAAAACCAAAAAAAAAATAAATAAATAAATAAAATAAAATAAAATCTCCGCAATCACCTTTAGGTTATTTAGATCCCTAAAGAGAGATAAACCCTTGGTCCAGCACTCATTTCCTACCCTGTCATTCCTCCATTCAGCCTGTCTCCTGGTTTACAGGATAATAATCATCTAATGGCTAACAGCTTCAATCCAAGGGAAAGCCCAGCATCAGTGAAACTACAAATCACTAATCTTGGAATATCTTATAGGCAATTATATAAATATGAATTGTGTCAAAGCTAAAGAATAATCCAGAAAGCAGTGATATTGATATAGGGGGAAGAGATGTAACTCCCAAACCACCTAGATATATGAAACCCAAGTTCATGTTCTCTAAAATCAAAGAAATGAATTCTAGGAACAATGGAGGTTAAGAATAGGAAAAATTTATTGAGGGAAAGAAAGCTTCTAAGAGAAACAAAAGGGGGGCCAGAAAGTGGGTTGCCCACTCACCCAATTTTCAAAGATGTTTTATACAGCAAAGCCATGTGGTGAGGCGGGTACAAAGTGGGACAAAACTGTAAGACCCAATGGAAAATTACAAGATGGGCATGAGGTGGGGCAAAACCATGACCAACCAATAAGATTACAAGTACAGTCACTCAGGTAATATTGATTAAATGGGGGTCTAATGAGGGAGCAAGTTACATAGCAAGGGTACAAGGATTTTCAGTAAGGGTGGGCGTCAGGGATATTTCCTGGGAAGGCTGGGTGAAGACCTTGCCCTCCCAACTCAGGTGATTGAAACCTATTTGAATATCAGTCACTGCTATTTATTCCCAGGAGAAGCACAAAGGAATAGTTTCTCTTCTTTTACAATTCTGGCCTTTAGTGAATATGTCTTGAATTGTCCTCCATGTTGGATCCTTGCTGTGTTGGCTCTTTGAGGGTGGTGCAGTCTAACTGCCTACAAGATACATAATTAACTTACCTATCTGCAATAATATGAGGTTTTGTTGAGTAGGCAAAAACCCTGGTGACCAGTTTCCTTAAGCCTTTCCCTAGGAAGATAATCCATAGCATTCTGAAGACAATTCCAATCTAGTTTTATCCATTATCCAGTAAAGATATAATTCCTGAGCATGTCACATTTAGTGTAAACTGAAATTCATAAATGTTTAATAAACAACGTGGCATTATTTCTATGATAGTTCTTAATAGGTAATACCCATTTTTTGTGATCTTATGAGTAAACTATTTTAAGGATGACAAATGAAGAAAGTATTTGGCCAGAAAGTAGTTAGACATAACAAAAAATGAAACATAGTAACATTTAAAACATAAATAGTTTTCTTTTCATCCGATAGGAAAACAAATGATTGTCTCATTTGCTATTGTTCTTTTTTAGTATGGCTGAAAAATGAGTACGATTGTTACAAAGACACCTGCCTTTATGCTAGGAGCTTATGTTAGAAACTTATCAATTTCTAATGCCTATGTAGGTAGTATGTTGGCCAGTTGTTCTCTAAGTGGCAATACACTTGGCAGTCAGAGTTCTCTGTGGAATCCTAGACTGCCTTTGTAGTACACTGAAATGTAGATTTAACCATATAAAAAATTAGGGATGATTTTGTATACAGGAAATGTATGTTATGTGTATAAATTAAAATGCCATGAACATATGCTTGCTCACTTTCTTAAAAATGTATTTAATGGACTACTTCATCTGAATTTTTATATTAATATTTACTTAGTCTCTGTTTTATCATCTGTTTACTAACAGGGAAGGTAGACTCAAAAGTTCTGAGAAAGATTTGCAGGAGAAAAGTGTATACTGTGCATCCATCAGGCCAATGGGCTATCACAATTATTAGGATCTGTAGGTAAACATCACTGTTATCTTCCTATCATCACTGATTATGAAGGTGAGCGGGAGATCCAGATCCACTTTCACCAAATGTACAACAAATGTCTATTAGCAAGTGAGCGCCAAACATAGTCAGGAAGTTGATTTCATAAACTAAGTGAAATTTGATCTGTTCCAATTCCATAATATAGTCATGCAAACAAGCATTTCATATAATATTCTCAGCACACAATAAATAAAACAAATATTAGGTAGCAAGCTTAGGAAAACTTCTAGCCAGAATATCTTCCATTTAGTGGCAGGGTAGGATGCAGAGGGAAAAGCACTCTCAGCACTGTCCCAGCAGTCAGCTATATGCAGGCATTTAAATCAGTTAATTAAAATGAAATAAAACTTAAAATTTATATTCTTCAGTTGCTCAGTTGCTCAGGCCACTTTTCAAGTATTCAAAAGCTATGTGGCACTAGTGGCTACCATACTGGACAAGCACAAATACAGCCCTTTTCGTAATCACAAAGAGTTCCGCTGGAGAGGGTAGTTATAGTTCTAAGAAACACTTCAAAAGGATACTGGGCTTGTCAGATTTGTATCCCATGGTTGATATTGCTTGTTAATAATCAAAATCATCTGTGCTGTTCTAGAATCTTCCTTTATAGATAGAGGTAGAAGCCAGGAAACTATGTTCTCTAAACTTTCCTGCTAGCAGTTTTGCATAACAGTGTTCAAGGAGAAGACTTCATGCGGCATTCACAAGGTATGAAAGAGATAAAGCATTATTCCCCACTGACATCTACAGCCATGGGCAGACAGTACACATCTGTTGAGTATCTGGGCATGGCCTCCAGGGTCCCCTCTTCATCACCCACTGAGCACAGACCATCAGCTTCTGTTGACCCTTCCACTTCTTATTTCCTGAATTCTTCAAAGAATCCTCTCCAACCTTCATTTCCCAGATCTTCTTGTATATATGTAAAATTTGAAGTCCTGGGTATACCCCTTCCTATTTGAATTATCTACAGTAGTTTCTCTTATGGGCCTTACTTTGACTGTACATGTACTGTACATACAAGGGCAAAAAGGTCCCCATACAAATCTTTATATCCTATTATATTTCTTAAACATTCTCCATATCCTCAATTAAAATGATCTCTAAAACAGTTTATGCTAATTATTGAACCTCTGGGGCAAGTATAAATAGCAGTATTGGAAGGCTTTGCCTTTAACCATCTCTGTAGTCTGGTGTCTCATTAGGGAATTTAACGTGCTAATTACCCTAAAGGAGTTTAGACTTCTAAAGAAGATACTTTACATGTTAACTGCCATTGTGATGTGGACTGAAGTTAACTGGCATTTTATGGTCTGCACTGAAAGTGCTATACTGTAAAGTAGAGATGACTAAACGTGAAATGAGAACATCTTTTAATAAAAGAAATGTGTCATTGTCCAGTTTTAGTGGTGTTAAACCTTAGCCCTTGTTGTGGAAATCAGTATTTGATGGAAGGACAGTTAAAAAATCTCTGAAATAGACTCCACTTGGGTTTATACTGTATGCTGAAGTGAGGCTCACAGAATATTCTGGAATTTGAAGTGGTTGTCCAAATGGTATCTAAGTGACCCAACAGGTTTTAATGGCTTTTGTCACTTAACTTATTATTGGAAAATAAATGGCTGAAACAGAATCTCTAGCTCCCAAACTTTAATATTATTTACAGGGATTTTCTTTACTAGATTTAAAAACCTTGTGGTTACCATATGGGCTTAATTTTAACCAAGTTCCTTTGCCAGCACTATGAAAAAAAAAAAACACTATCACGCTTTTGAATATATGTGCATAAGGTAGGGAA